TTTATATTTTATAATTTATAATTTAAAAACAAAAGGGATAGAGATATTTTTTATGTGGTAACTATTTCTATTACTAGGTACATACAAATATATACATATACACATTTTTTATTATTATTTTATTAAAATGTTTTTTTTTTTTTCATATTATATCTAAAAACGTATTTCTAAGCCCCAAAATTTCTTAACATTAATAGGTGTGTCTGGTTAATTTAAAACTTGTAACTATTGTTACTGGGAGTTGTCTTTTAACCCAAAAAAAGACTATTTCCAACATTTTTAGACAAACGCCGATTAAAGGATTCCGGGGAACACATCAAATGTATCTTTCTTTTATTGCTCATATTTTTATTTTATTATTAATTTCCTTTTTATTTATAAAACTTTTAAAATTGGTGGTGCTTCCTTTCTTTTAATTCTTTAAATGGGGGCAAATTGGTTTGTTTTGACAAATCAGCTGATTAGTTGCAAGTTTCTGCGGGAATACCGTCTGTTTACTTTTCGCATTTTCCACGCAAAGGAGAATAAAACTACCCTACTCCCTCAGAAAGATGTTGCTGGAAAATTTCTTCAGGAAAAATAACCAGACACACCTTTTAATGTATGGTAAAACAATTTTACATCTGGATGTAACGGAAGGAGAAGAGTTGCAAGAGATTTGCAAGCTTTCAGTGAAAGAACTGTCCAAATTTTAGATAACTTTTGTGTTAACAGACGAATTCAAGAACAATTTGCAATCATTTTTACAAATTTTAGAATATTCAGACACACCTATTCTCTATCTGCTTCTGATAGCAAAATAATTATGTTAAAATTTATTTAACATTCATTTACAGATTTTTATGGCTTTGGTCACTAGTTTTCATTAATTATATACACATAATGTTTATATATGATTACAATGTAAATACACATAAATAAAATGACTTATAACACAATATTAGTTGTTAACTTTTTAAATATTAGTTTTTATTTACTTTTTTATACAACAATTGCTCGATGCAATGATATGATGATGAGCGTGTCAAAGCGATGTAAAAAACACGACGTGGTACGCAAACACTTGAAAAATCAACAATTTAATATTTTAAATTATTTCATTTATTATTTCAAACTATAAATTTCCGTCACTAAAAACATGACAAATGCATTTCTACATTAAAAAAAAAAAAAAAAAACAGATAACGTTTATCAGTGTTTAAACTAAAAGTAGAAACATTCTTGATAATATTTTGAGGAGAAAACTTCAGAGAAACAAGTAAAATGTCTATGGAGAAAATAGCATGGGGTAAATACATAAATGATTTTATACGGTAAAAGTCATCTGCTGTCTGGCTTCCTATTTAAAAAAAAAAAAAAAAAAAAACACTTAAAAAAGCAGTAAGTTCGGTCGGGCCGAACTTTAAATACCCTCCATCATTTGAAACTAATTTGAAAATTTTCAAAAAATAACATCCGCTAAAAATTCTGTTAAAATCCTAAAAATACCGTATGTAGCAGTTATATTGGGGTCTATAGACAACTTTTGTCATAAGCAATTACAATATTCAAATATGAAAATTGAGAAAAAAAATCCGGTGAATAATGTAGCTAAAACCATTAAAATACCGAATATAGGGAGGTACCGATACATTGGGCCCTTACGAAGTCCTGGACCTACATAGACAACTTTCTGTCATAGACTGTAGTTCTCATTACGAACTCTTAATAAGAAATTTGAAACAACACCGGTGAATAATGTCGCTAACATCATCAAAATATCGAATATTGGGGGTACCGCATATGGAGACCATACGAAGATGTGGGCCTGCAAACGCAATTTTTTTTGTCATAGACTGTAGTACCCTTTATGAATTCTAAATACGAAATTTGAAACAACTCCGGTGAATAATGTATCTAAAATACTCTGAGGGTGTACGCAAACATTTTGGCCCCAGACCTTGGAAATTCCAACTGGACTCAACACCATCGCACTCAGCACGCGCCGCCCAAGTATGGTCATAAAATGAGGTTTCTCGCATTATTTCCAGCGCCCAAAGGCCACCTCAAATCTCCGGATACCAATCCGTTGGACTATTGTGTCTGGAGTATTTTGGAAAGTGTCGATCACCTCAAGCAAGCGCTTCGCGGTGAATGGCCAAAATACCGCAGAGCAACATTCGGGCAGCGTGTGACGGTTTCATTGGCCGTTTGGAGGCCATAATTCGTGCCAAAGGTGGCCAATTCTAACAAGTCTAAACTTATTCAAAAATTAGTTGCTTTTTCCTAGATTTTTTGAAATAAAAAAAAAATACCGAATATTTGGTGGTGGGGGGGGGGGGGGGTTTACCGCCTATGGAGACCATACGAAGACGTCGGCCTGCATACGCATTTTTGGTCATAGTCTGTAGTACCCTTTATGAATTCTAAATACAAAATTTGAAACCACTCCGGTGAATAATATCCCTAAAATCGTCAAAATATCAAATAGTGGGGGGGGTTCCGTTGTATGTGGGCTATATGATATCGTGGACCTCTATAGAATTTTCTCTTCCAGGGAGTAAAGTGCTTGGAAAGAACTTCTAGTATGGATGTTTAGGCAATTCCATTGAAAAATGTAGCTAAAGTCATCAAAATACCGAATATCGGGGGTATCTTTGTTATTATTTCGATGAGTTACAAACGAAATCACGAACTTAATATACCCTCCATACTATGTATGGTAAATGGTATAAAAATAGGCCCGTTCGTTTAGTTTCGCAATAAAATGGGAAAGGGTAAGATGAAAAGGTAACATGGGTTTGTACAAATGATCAAGAACACTACTTTTGTCGCCCGAACTGTCGTATTCATATTTTTGAGCTAACATCAGCAATTGTGAAAGAAAAAAAAAACTAAATGCTACCGAGACTGAACAACGCTAACAGAAAAAACTCATAGTTATGCTATGCTATGCAGAAATATCGCCACTTCTGGCAAATGGTAATATTATCACTTCCTTTCGTTTCAATTTTAACTTTTACACACACTCATGTTTCTAGGCTACACTGTTCGAATGTAACAAAACTAACTGAATGGTTTTGTTTTTTAATTTTTCCTCATTTAATTAAATTCAAAATGAATTAAATTTCAAAAAAATGTTAATCAATATTATTAGATAAAAAAATGTTGGTAAAATTTTTAATCAATCAATAGAAATTGTTTACTACTATGCATGTTCAGCAGAACTGCCCGCAACAAATATACATCTATATCAGGTCTGTCCGGTCACTTTTTTGACAGGAATTTCTACAAATTTTTTTCAATTCCAAATAGGGTGTGACAGTTCATTGTCCTAGCAGCTAAGTCGATGCGTCTACCTATATTCTTCTACCATGATTCCTGCAAAAATTTGTACTCAGCTGACTCATCAAAACAAAGCTAAATTTCCGCCAAAAAAGTAAAGCACTGAAACTTTTTGTATTTTATTTAAAATTGAATATCACTCCGTTTGTAATACCTCAAAATAAGCATTTTGGACCCAATAAAGTATATAATTCTTGATCAGCATAAAATTCTATGTCGATTTAAAGCTGACCGTCCGTCTGTGAAAATCACTCTAGCTTCCGAATGAATTGAAGTAGGTTGATAAAATTTTACTCAAATGTGTGTTTGGTCTGTAGAACTTTTGGTATTGAAAATGGGCTTTATAGGTCCACGTTTAGGTATAGCCCCCACATAACTGAACCTCCCTATTTTAGGTATTTTGCTGATTTCAGCGACATTATTCACCGGAATTGTTTCAAATTTCGTATTTGAAGTTCCTAATAGGTACTACAGCCTATGACTGAGAATTGTCTATGCAGATCCATGTCTTCGTATAGCCCCCATATACCGGAACCTCCCTACATTGGGTATTTTGCTGAATCCGGCGACATTATTCCGGAACTGTAAAAATGTTTGCGTGGCCAAGACTTTAATACACCCTCCAGAATATTTTCGCGGTAATATTCGGCATTTATTCTGAGGTCACGGTCGATTAATACGAACGGAGAGCGACCATTGGCTGTTATGGCGGCCCACACCATGGCCGGCGCTTGAGTTCTGGTGGCCAACCGAAGGTACACATTTTCAGCTGACCTCTTTGGCAAGTAAACACAAGAAAATTCGGCAATTCACCACTTTCGGCCAGGTCAAGCGAAGCAACGCTCTTTTGAATCTATTTTCTTTTGTTGTCTGTTGCGGTGTAAGTTCTTGCACTTTTTAGAATTAAAATAGCTTTACCCCGAGCTCATTTTTCAATATTTGCCAAATGGAATATTGCGATATGTTCAGCTCACGAGCCATTTTTCGGCCACTGCGACGCGAGTTTCGATCAAGTCGCTTCTATACTTTTCGAACAATTTCTGATGATGTGGCTGTTTCTCCGTCCACTTCCTTGATGTCGGGCTACGCTACCAGTATCACGGTTAAGAGCGATGGTACGAGACACAAAAGATTTCTTCACATTTAACTGCTGGAGTGCTATAACTATAGTCACTTGCGATTTTCCAGCCAAATATAAAGAAATCACACTATTACGCTTGAATACCATCACGAATAACTTTTTTTCTGGAAAATTCTCACCAAAATGCTTTTGTACGCTTGTAAACAATATAATGAGCTGTCACTCGAATGGTGTCAGCTGTCGGACGAGTGGCTTAGAAATGACAGCAGTCTGAAGTTGTTTGCAGTTTTTTCATCTCACCCTGTACAGATTTTCGCGGAATTTATATTCGCCTCTACCATTAATTTTGATAAAGTTTTTCTTAGGATTTGAAAAATTAGCAATATTTTATCTCAACGAGGTTGTTTTTTTTTTCGTATTTTGCAAACGTCTGATAACTAGCATATATGATCGAAGGGAAGGACGGGGAAGGGCATAAAACGAACTGGGAAGTATTTCTAAGTAGGCTATCAAAAGTAGCTCTTTTACCACTTTGTTTTTTTTAGTAATAACGTTTAATTACGTCTTTTTTAAAATTAAAATTGAATTAATTCAGTTTTTTTTTTTTTCTTTCGAAGTTTATTTGGTCAATGCAGTTTCGTTTCTCGACTGATAAGTTTTACACATTGAAATTCTTCAGAGAAAATTCCTCGTGAACTTGTTAATTTCGAAAATATTTATCCTATAATGATATTATACAAATGCTTATCGTTTAGAGGTCCATATAATTTACAAAATCGATAATAACTTTTGGCACATGAATAATATTAGAACAAAAAAAAACTAAATAATTCTTAAAAGCAAAATCTTCGTAATCAATTGTTGTTATATCTAATTTAATAACACACATTAAAAATTCATCATTCAGTACAGCCTACTATACACAAACATGATATAAATTATAATACAAAAAGAAGGAGGAAGATGAAGATGAAGGCGTTAAAAGCAAAATTAATTTATAACTAATTCTAATCATCGTGACGTACATTTACCGCATTGGAGTCGACGAGTGTTTAGTACACAACGGCCAATGGTTGGAAAACATTGTATTCATTGGGATCACAGCAAATAAACAACAGCCGCAGCAGCAGCACACGATTGTGTGCTCCATTTTCAGGTCTAACATCCCCAGCACAACAACAATGTGACACATTAAACTCTAGACGGCGGCTATGTATGTACTCATTTCACGTTCCCCATATCTCTTGACGAAATGTTCAACGGCCGTTGCTTCGCCTATTTGCCTCACAACGCCAACAACACTAATAATAGGGACAAGAAAGTAGTGCGTATTCGGAAATCTCTAAACCGCTTCACCTTTTGTTGTTGTGGGCAATAGTAGCTCCTTATCGGGTGACTGTTTCCGCCGGAACGTGACGTATGTATAGAGAAGACTAGCAAATACACTGATATTGATACCGATGCAGTTCAGCCAAGAGAAAACATAGTCGCCACCGATGAACATACCCAAATATGTGACACATATGTTTTTGAGGCAGCCAACTATGGTTGTTGTCAAGGCCGAATTGTATTGCGTACATAAGATTGTGCTGTAGGACAGGATGAAGCCCATGAAACAGCTCATTAGGAACTGGATAACAAAGTAGGGATTGTGCCATTGACCGAATGCAATGGATTTTTCCCAATCGCCGGTGGCGTAGGTAATCAGCATGGCGGGTAAGAACATGAACAGGGAATTGTAGAACATAAGTCCGTATTTCCCTATTTCCGAGGTATCCAACTTCTTTTTGACGAACACGCCATTGGCTGCGGTCATGGCATTTGTTATCATCACATAGGCATATCCTTGCATATTGAATGACAGGTCATCGGAGGCAGCCAACAGAGCACCACCAATCATGCCATAAACACTGATCTGAACGGCAGTCGAAGGTCGTATGCCCAAAATCTTCAATTCCAAGAGCATGGTCATTAATATGGAAAATCTGCGCAGAGCTGCAAACATGGGCAAACTTAAGGCCTGAGTGCCACCCAAGCCGAACATCATGTTACCCAGAAATATCAACGGCAGCGGGAATATTTTCCTGAATGTGTTCCGCTGCAGTGGGGCAAACGATACAATTTTCAGTCGTTTGCCCAGACCAAGTACCACAATACTGGCAGCCAGCTGCCCCAAACTTAGAAATAGGAATGACGGAAATTTGTATGAGGTCAATACAGTTTTATTCACAACTGTTATCATGAAGGAGGCCATGCCATAGAACAGGGCACTGCCAATCTTTTTGAAATACAATGTGACATCTTCTTTTTGTTGTCTAGCCTCTTTGGAGTTCAGGCTGGAGGTGCTGCCTGTAAGGTTGTTGCTGCTATTGATACTGCCCAATTCTAATGTAGTCAATCCGCTGTTGTTAGCAGCACGGTGATTGTCCATTGTGCCGCTGCGTCAGGCACAACGTGTCTGTCTTTGTTGTACTCCACTGAAGGCACGCACCCAGCTCTTTTGACAACGTCAATTACCCGTTCGTTCACTTGAATTGCGTTTTTCTCTGAATCTGCAAATCTGTCTGCCACCCAACAAGTAAGCCGTTGCTGCTCCAATTCAATGGATGGTGTTATTGTTACTGTGTTCACTTGACTACGTAATAAAACTTTTTTCTCTTCTTTGTTTTTCTTTGGTATCGCTTCTAATTTATCATCGTTTTTTGATGGCTTCTATCACTTTTAATAAAAAATTAAATTTACTTTTTGGAAACATCTTTTATCAGTTTCTCTTTTCCATGTGTTTGTCGGTATCGTATGGCTTATCATTTAAATGAATAAGAATAGTTATTTCTCAATTAAAAATATTTCCGGCTTTCGCACAAAATAATGTAACATCGCGGCGCACGTACAAATATAAATTAATTTTTTTTTCTTTCTTCAAGTACTCACATACAAAAATAAAGAAATGAGAAACCATATTTCTCTCAAATAAGTTGGCTGTTTTCGTTGCTCTCACTCTCTCTCTCTCTCGAGAATCATGCATGTGTGAGCATTATGTCAGTTGTTTGTTTATATTTGTTGATTTTAACCTAGTTTCGATTTTGCATAAATGAAGATGTTTCACCTACCTTTACCTTTGTCCTATGTATATTTTATGTACAATCGAGTAACACTTAATTAATATTCAATTTGTTGTTGAATATGAATAAATTGCACTGTTTTTTGGGGGAATTGAGATAACTTCAATCAGCTGATGTATAAACAGAGTTGCTTGTAACTGCCAACACAATTTGAAGGGTACTGGGCACACATCAAACGAAGTATACGTGTAAAGTGAGATAAACACAATCGAATATATTTGTAATTTGGTCGAATGTGTGTTTGATTTGTTTAATGGAGAAAGCCACAGGAGAATAGACGAAATATTTCCTTTTATCCTAAATAGTTAGGCTTAATCCTATTGTTGTTACATAGGCTTAATTATCTATTATTACTTATTATTCTACAACAACCTTATAGAAATGTGTTATTTTAAGCATGGTACAATAAAAAGGTAAGGTAGCGCTACCAGCTGATTATAATTTTGCCAATTTTGTGTATATATTATTATTTTGTGTATATATTTATTGTTTTGAAAAATGAAAACAAAATTTTTCAAAATGATGATTGGAAGACACGTAGACTGCGGCTCGCACATTAAAGTTATCATCCATTTTAGCCACGAAATTGAAAGATTGATTTTTCGCGTTATTTAACTCATTTTAAAAAATGAGAAAAAATATGAAAAAAAAAGGAAAACAACTTTTTGCATATAATTTTGAATGATAGGAAGCGGGCATAGCATGTATTCCTGTAGTTTTACGAAGCTGAAAATGCAGAGATGGGAATGCTTGTTTGAAATGACGTTACCTTCTGAATTTTACCATGCAAGTGTTAGAGTTATATGAAAACAAAAGAAAATAATTTCAATAAATTACTTTAATTTAAAAAATGTACATTTTGCTAATTCGGATTGTTAAATTGAAAATGCAGAACGAAAATTACTAATGTGCCTAATTTTAATGCTTTTATATTATATCTTTTATTGCATAGTTGTCAGCTTTATGTACAAAAATCTTGTAACACTGTAAGAAATTGTAAGCAAATCGTGGAAAAAGTGACATATATTTCCATTTGAAATCACAGTCATAAGGCTCACTACATGTTGCAAATTTAGAAAGCACAAAAATTTGACTATTCGAGAAAAATCCATCCGCACGATTGGTGTTTGGCGTTTTATCTATTATTATGACAAAATCCTCCACATTTCACAGACGTGAAATTTTATATTAAATAAAGAATATAAAAAAGCGAATAAAGACGTGACGTACGTAAGCAGCTTGGCATCATTGCTAGGCGTATTAATGTCAAATTATAATGAAAACTGACGGCAGGATTCGAATTCGCTGTGGCATTCTTTAATGTTATGTCACAAATTATACCATGCGACGACTACTAGCTGCTTATGTAGCCTTTGCACACAATAATTCAAGTGGCTTTCAATAGACAATTCGATTTTGTTTACGCCATATGAAATCCACTGGATTTGAGAGTCGATTTGTTTTTTTTTAAAGGCGTTATAAACAAGATTCAACTTCATAAACTTTAAATCCTTGTGAAGGTCAAAGCATTTTTCGACATTTATTTTCTGATCGTCTTTGCTCTTATATCATGATATGAAAAGAACGTGCAAAACTGGAAGGAAGATTATGTCACACCCTTCCTCCACAATACCATATATTAGGTTTTTGATACCGCTTGTAGCTGGTCGAAATAAGCACTTTAGGCCTCACATAGTATGTATATATATTCTTCATCAAGACAAAATTCTATGTCGATTTAGCCCTAATCCTCCGTCAGTCTGTGTGTCTGTCACTTTTTTTCGAGAGGAATAAAGTAGAAACATTTTACGCTAGTTCCGCGCTCATTTTAATGAATTTTTCAGCTGATTGCGTTGTCCTCACATCTCATTCTCTCGGCTATGCCTTATACTCATTCGTAAACAATAGATTTTTTGGAGTTTTTGCTCTCTGTTTATTTAGTTTATTATGGTGGCATTATTCATTATTTGCATTTGTTTTGCCTTTTTATTTGTTTCGTTGGTACGCTTTTTATTTTGGTTGGTGGTTCGCAGATGAACATAAGAGACACGACTTTTATACGGGAAAGCCAAACTAATAAATTTACTTTAATTTAAATTTATTTACAAATTTTAAATGATCAAATAAGATAAATATGCATAAAACAAAAAAGAAAACCGCTAAAATACCCAAACCGATCAAGATCAAGAAAGAGAAGACTGATGAAGATCGAATGCCGCAATCAATGATGTACTACATCGATGATAGATTGGAATTGGTTAAACAAATCTTTGGATCTTTGAAACCAAAAACTATAATGAATCTGGCACCGGAATTTTTAAAGGTACGTTATATATTATTACGCTAAAGGCATTAGATATCTAAAATTAGTTCTTTATTTAGACCCAAAGTTTGGAAGAAATCGAAGAAGCGTGTCTCAATGAGCTCTTGTGTATATCAACAAAGCGCTTAAAATCGATAATAACAGCAACCAAGTGTCCCACAGACACCGAATCGTCTGAGGATGAAGATGTCCAAAGAAAGGAAGGTGAGTTCACGCCGCATATTGAACTTGGAAGTGTTTTTGTAATGTTTTCCATTTGAATTTGCAGAGCATGTCTCACTGGAAGAAATATCCTCGGATAGTGAAATTGAAGGTGGCACATCGAAAAAAGGTAATTATTGAAGAGGAGATAATGTAATATGCGTAACTATAAATGGACTTGTACATAAGTTTTGCAGATGCATGCTAATCGGCATTAAAGGTTTCAAGAACAGACTCTTTTTGCAATATTATTTACCAGTGGGAGCAATTTTTTTCCATATCCTACAAAAAGAGCCTTTGCGACAATTTGTCTAATGTAAATGGGAACTGAGAATCCTAATTGGGCTCCTTGCAGGTCGATTATTTTTTTTTTAATTATATGCGAGCAGGCCCTTTGCTTCACAATTCTATAATTAAAGTACATGCAGGTATTAGTTAATGCAATGTAGAACTAAAATATTGACAGATCGAGGAATCGTACCAGTCATCCTGGTACGACCCTGCTCGTTCAAGAATTTGTTTCTTTCAGATCCAAGGGAATGGAGTCTGAGTTGTCAACAGCCCCCTCGTTTTCTTTCCGGCCTGTTTCCGGTCGTCTACACTTCAGCACTACGTCAAATTTGCATCTGAAAGTTCTAATGTCTACTCGAGGCGTTTTACCATTCCCATAGGTACGGGTCGGTCTATTTATACAATCCACAATAGTATGGAGGGTATATTAAGTTTGTCATTCCGTTTGTCCCCATATAACTGGACCTCCCGATATTCCGTATTTTAATGATTTTAGCGACATTTTTCACCAGAATTGTTTCAAATTTGGTATTTGAAGTTTGTAATGGATACTACAGCCTAAGACCGAAAATTGACCATGCAGGTCCACGTCTTATAATAGCCTTCATATAACGGCACCTCCCGATGTTCGGTATTTTGATGATTTTTGCGACATTATTCACTGGAATTGTTTCAAATTTGGTATTTGAAGTTCGTAATGGTTATTAAAGCCCATGACAGAAAATTGTCTGTGAAGGTCCACCCATCCATCTACCCATCCCTAAACCTAATCTTACCTAACAACGCCTGTAGACCTCATGGTCCATATTGGGGAATAAAAACTTGATTTGAGTAATCCTTAGTCACAGATTTCATAACAAACCTGCGGATGAATGAAGCTGGACATTTCGATTTCTAAGTAACTAAAACGCAGTTTATATTATCATTTTAACAGCACATTTGTATTACAGATTTTCAAGTTTTTTTTTCTTTTATTAACAAATTAATTTTTCACCCACACTCTTTGGAGGTACATAAAAGGCACGCATGATTACAACATCCTCATCAACACCCAATTGAACAGAATCTTCGCCACCATATGTATCCATGTCGATTGTAATTATGAAATCACCCACTTCAATGGCACCACAGCCACGGGCGTATTCAATGCCATAATCGAGGGGCGTGTAGTCACAAAAATTCATTGCCTTATTGTAAATTATCAGGCGCAAGTTTCGCTTGAAATTCAAAATCTTGGCAATTTTTTCTTCATCATTGTTCAGAACGTTATCTTGTGTGGCTATGATTACAAAGACAGGGCAATAGATTTCCAGGCAACCCAATGCTGCAGCAGCTTTTTCACATTTTGTACGAAGAAATATGGCTTGACATTCTATTGTGCTGATTGTTCGTATGATAAAATTGACTGCCGATTGATATGAAGAAAGGGGTTCACGTAATGCAGCTGATGCTGGAGCAACTCCTCGTCGATAATCTTTAATTGGCAATAACTTTTTTACAATCAATGGGTATTTGTTACACCATTCACTTTTCTCGATGAAAATACAATCGATTTTTGTTAGAAAATCATGATTTTCGAAAATACGAAAATCACTGCATCTTTTCAGGGGCACTGTTCCAATCAAAGGCTTTTTCCAACATTTGGCAGCGGGTATTACATCCTGGCAAATATAGTTGTAGATCTCCGGTGTTAAATCAAATAAATTACTGAGCCAAAGAAAGTCAAGCAGCTTTATTAGAGCTAAAATATCCAACATTTTGCGATTCACATATTCCAAATCGATTATACCAATTATTTGGAATCTAAAATGTTCTTTTATGTGATAGCGTAACATTTTCAATACACTTTTGCAACGTATTTGTGGTATTACCAAAAAGTCGGCATTTAATGTTGCGGCCAAATCAAGATCTTGTGAGAACACATTTGTTGCCTTTTGTAAATTTAATAACTTGCATTGTTGCGGAAGTTCTAGGTAATCATAGGAATTGATTATGCCAGGTTCATCTATCATTAAGGATATGGAGTTTTTCAATATTTTCGTAATACGTCCCCTAACCTCGCTGCCAATTTTGATTTCATCGTTCAATTTTAAACTTGGCAAATAGTGTTGCAGATTAATGACATGGCAAATTTCCTTGAACCCGGAATATTTGTAGGATCTGTCACTTGTCAATGTTATATTGCTGGCAATTTCTACAAATATTGAGCAATTATTTCGCAAACGACCAATGCGACAACAATCACCATTTATTTCAATGGCTAAACCCACTGCCAAAATGGCGTTGGGATCCTGAGTTTGAACTTCTTCCACTGTTGCTCTCAACAAATTTGCCATCTTTTCAAGTTCCTCTGCCCGATTTCTCACGGCATCGAGTAAAAAAGTTCTTGTACCATTTTTTATTAGATTTTTTATTTCATCGGCTGTGGTATTGCATGCCAGCTTTGCCATTAAAGCCAAATTATAATAACGACGTTTACAGCGTTTGCGAGCGTGCTTGTCATGTGCATTGCACTGTTGCATGAAGTCATTCCATTGTTCATCCAAATCTCGTTGTCCATTTAATAGAACCGTAAATTTGCTATGTTCATCGGCAACAGATTCCATATTGCGTTTTTTTTAATAGTGATTTTGAATAAATTTTTATTTCTCGTATTGCAGGAAAGAAAAAGAAAGCTTCGAAATTGGAGGACAAAAATAAAGCGGGAGCCAAAAATGATCCACAAAAATCAGCAGAAAAGAATGAAGGTAATTTGAGAAATAATAAAAAACAAAAGTGTCATAAAAATTAAAAAAAAAATGATTTAAAAAATTTTTAGCAATTCAAAATCAACTTTAAACTCTTAATTAAGTCAGAGGTAGTTTTTAATGGGCGCTATAGGAAAAAGTTAAAAAAACGACAATATTAGCAAAATTTGAAAATAAACCAACGTGGGAATGGCCATACCATGTAAAATTCAGTACCAGAAGTAAGAAGTAAGAAAGGTTGGAAATTTGCCCGCAGATCCTCCTCAGGGGTAATTTGTTTATTAACACGAGAAGATTTGAAAGTAGAAGATTTTGAAAGTAGAGCTAAAAATGAAAGATACGTTTATCGAAGGTCTACATAGCAAAGTTACCTGAACAAAGGGATCAAGTTTCCCTATCTTCCAACTTTTATACCCCTAGCCATATGGCTAGCGAGGGTATAGAGGGTGTGATAAAACAAATCTGCAACAAAGTCAAACGCCATAATTTTTTAAATTTCATTGAATGAAAGGAAAAATGTCGGAAATGGCATCAAATTTTAAAATAAGTTTAGATTTGTTCGAATTGGTCACCTTTGGCACGAATTATGACCTTCAAACGGCCAATGAAACCGTCACACGCTGACCGAATGTTAGGGTATTTTGGCCCATTCACGGCGAAGCGCTTGTTTGAGGTGATCGACACTTTGGTATTTTTTTGTGCCAACCTTGATTTTCCCAATACTCCAGACACAAAAGTCCAACGGATTGGTATCCGGAGATTTTGGTGGCCATTGCGCGTTGGAAATGAAGCGAATAACCTCATTTTGTAACCACTCTTGGGTGGCACGTGCTGAGTCCTGTTGGAATGTCCAAGGTCTGCGGCCAAAATGTTTGCGTGCCCAGAATATCTTCGCTATAATATTCGGCATTTATTCTCTTTGAGTTTATTTTCTTACTGACTCAAGACATAAGAGTTTGAGGCTCAAACTCATCTGTATAGAAGAGTTTGAGGCGCAAACTCATCTGTATAGAAGATTTTGAGGCTCAAACTCATCTGTATAGAAGAGTTTGAGCCTCAAACTCAACTGTATGGAAGAGTTTGAGCCTCAAACTCAACTGCATGGAAGAGTTTGAGGCTTAAACTCATCTGTATGGAAGAGTTTGAGGCTTAAACTCATCTGTATGGAAGAGTTTGAGGCTCAAACTCATCTGTATGGAAGAGTTTGAGGCTCAAACTCATCTGTATGGAAAAGTTTGAGGCTCAAACTCATCTGTATGGAGAGAATTTGAGGTTCAAACTCATCTCATCAAGATAGGCTAAAATAAATCTCGTATTATCAAACTCTTCTATACAGATGAACTCTTCTATACAGATGAGTTTGAGCCTCAAACTCTTCTATACAGATGAGTTTGAGCCTCAAACTCTTCTATACAGATGAGTTTGAGCCTCAAACTCTTCCATACAGATGAGTTTGAGCCTCAAACTCGTCTGTATAGAATAGTTTGAGGCTCAAACTCATCTGTTTGGAAGGGTTTGAGGCTCAAATTCATCTGTTTAGAAGGGTTTGAGGCTCAAACTCATCTGTATAGAAGAGTTTGAGGCTCAAACTCATCTGTATAGAAGAGTTTGAGGCTCAAACTCATCTGTATAGAAGAGTTTGAGGCTCAAACTCATCTGTATAGAAGAGTTTGAAGCTCAAACTCATCTGTATAGAAGAGTTTGAGGCTCAAACTCATCTGTATAGAAGAGTTCATCTGTATAGAAGAGTTTGATAATACGAGATTTATTTTAGCCAAACAAGTTAACCTTCCAAATTAATTCAATTTCAATTTCTGCTCTTTCAGAGGAGGGACAAATCAGCGTCTTGGAATTACTCGAATTGCAAGCCAGGGCCAGAGCAATACGATCACAATTAGCCCTGGAGCCTGTTACAAAAATTGAAGTTGATTCCGATAAAGAGGATGGACCGGATCGCGATGAGCAAAGTTCATCGAAAAAATCGAAAAAGCCACACAAAAGCGATAAGAATGAGAGGAAGCGAACTTCGAGTACACGAGAATCACAAGATTCATCCAATAATATTTCCAGATCGTCTGATAAAGAAAGTGAAACACGTAAAACTAAAAAGGTTAAGCTAAAGCGTAACTATAGAAACTCTTCGGCCCACAACAACGAAGATGAGGAGGGTGAAAAAACCAAAAGCACAGAAACAACAGCAAATGAAACCTCAATTTCGAAAGACAATGATGCAAGCGAAAAACGAACGGCGAATTCCTCGTCCCAGCAGGAATCTGTTGAAAAGATTAAAAAAGAAAAGGCTAGTCGTTCACCTTCGCCGGATGTTATACCCATTGTTGCCGAGCCGGAAACATTGTTGATAAATGATTCTTCTGATGAAGAAACTGGGAAAAATAGGCAAACAGATGAGAGTGCCAAAATTGAGGAACCCCTGCAAAAGGAGGGTGGCAAAGATCGAAAGATATCCGAAATGGAAGATGGTGAGGTTGATGAATACGGTGAAGGTCGGGAGAAAACATCAAACAAGTTTGAACAGCAGCCGGAAAAGGAAGACGAATCGAATAATGTCAATGAAGCAACGGAAAATGATAAAGATAAACATCAAGAAGAATCAATGGCGTCCGAAGATTCCAGCGTTAAAGATCAAGAAAAAGAAACTAAAGTTTTAGCTGCCGAGGAGGAATATGAGGATCGAAATGATGACGTCATATCACTGGGTGAAGATTTGGAGGATGAAATGGATGAACAGTTGGAAAATATAACAAAAGCCGATAATATGGACAAAGATTCGGCAGCATCCTCTTCGCCAGCAAAATCCAAAAAGAAGAAATATTCCGAGGAAAAGAATAAAACCGAAGACAATCAGGTGAGTCGTATTGTAAAAAAAAAACTAATTAATTAAAAAACAAAATTTAATTTTCAATTTTTAGTCCTGGCATGACCGTTACATGAAAAGCTCTAAGGTAAGCAAAGTTTTGGCTGCATCGCGTCTGGGCAAGAAGGTGCGAGACAAAATCAAAAAGTCCAAAGAGGCTCCTCGAGAAAGTTCTGACAAGGCCGAGGAAAAAGAGGAAGTATTTACATCCAAACACGAAGAGGGCTCGCTGGAACAGTATAAAGAACTGTTGGAGTTGCGTCAACGCAAGTCAAAGTGAAGTGGATGCTTCTTTTTTATTTGAAATAATTTATTTTACAAAACAAGAACTGTAAAATTTAAATAATAAATATTTATAAGTATTTTTTTTTAAATAATATTTTGTATTAATATTTATGTTGATTACCTTTGAATTACTTATTTATACCCACTACAACAGCAGCAGCAGAATTAAGGGCTTATTTGAAGTTGTGTTCTTTGCCCCAGGGTAATGAACAGTAAATTGTTGTGCGTTCATTTAATAATGACCATTGAAATAATCGCTCTCGCAAATATTTGTTGGTGAATAAAAAAAAACTTATTCAAAGTGTAATAGAAAGACCACAGACTATGTTGAACTTACAAGTTGCCGCGATATTAGCATTTTTCAGTGGTGTGGTATTCGGTAAGAATTGTGATTCCATAAAATTGAACGAAGACGGATATTTGTCGAATAAACGTTGAATTTTAAGAGATATTTTATAAAGCCTGTCATAACTTTGAGAATAATTTTGAAAGGTCCATCAGAAGAAAAATAATTGTGGATTCTTAGAACAACTTAAGAAGGCCTATAGAAGCAGAGAGTGTGTATTTTTATACCCTACACCACAAGGTGGTCAGGGTATTATGTCTTTGTGCATTTGTTTGTAACAGGCAAAAAGAAACGAGATAGACCCATAGTTCCGTTTGATGATCTGCATAGAATCACTTTCTGGGTTGATTTATGCATGTCAGTCCGTCTGTCCATGTATTCTTGTGTACAAAATGCAGTTAGCATTTATTATCCGATTGAGATGAAATTTTTCAAACAACATTTTTTTGGTCCAAGGACGAACCCTATTGAAATTGGAGACAATCGGTAAAAATTTAGATATAGCTCCCATATATATCTTCGTCCGATTTGCTTTTTATTGTGCACCAAACGTGTAATATCAGCCCGAATAGCATGGAATTTTGCACATACAACCAAATTAGGCCTGAAAATAAGTATGCCAAATTTGATCGAAATCGGTTCAGATATAGCTATAGCTCCCATATATATTGTTCATCCGATTTGTTATTTTTGTCCTCCGCAGCCGTAATATGCACTCTGTAACAACAATATTTGTGGAAATATATCAAATACAGCTCAGAAATACCTTTGCTAAATTTTATCGAGATCGGTTCAGATTTGGATATAGCTCCCATATATAACTTCGTCCGATTTACCTTTTATTGTGCACCAAACGTCTAATATTTGTCCAAATGGGATGGAATTTGACACATACCACCGAATTGAGTCTAAAAGGTAGTATGCCAAATTTGGTGAAGATCGGTTCAGACATAGCTATAGCTCCCATATATATTGTTCATCCGATTTGTTGTATTTATTACCCACAGCCGTAATATGCACTCCGTAACAACGATATTCAAAGAAATATATCAAATACAGCTCAGAAATATCTTTGCCAATTTTTATCGAGATCGGTTCAGATTTGGATATAGCTCCCATATATATCCTTATGTGATTTCAAATTAATTTTGCACCAAATGGGCAATACAAGTCCGAATTTAAAAGATACAAATGCTTCGGCATATTTAGTCCTTTAAACTTTAAATTATAATTATAATCATAAGGTGTATGATTGAATTCTCCCATAAAAACTTTTAATTGTTATGTGGAGCTCAACAAAATTAGCAAAGTGGTGTAGGGTATCATAAAATCGGCCCCGCCCGACTTTAGGACTTTTTTTACTGGTTTTACAATAATTTTGAAACGCCTATCAGACCAATAACGTGCTTTCTTTGAGAAAAAATATTGATGGCCCATCAGAGTAAAAACTATCGCAGATTCTTAGAATAACTTTAGAAGGCCTATAGAAGCAGAAAGTGGGTATTTTTTAAGTAATTTTTAAATGTAAAAAAAGGTATTTTTCAAAAGTAATTTTAAAACGCCTATCAGTGCAATAACATGTTTACTTTAAGAAAAATTATTGATGACCTATTAGAGCAAGATTTGTGGGGTTTTAATAATAATTTCAAAAAAGTCCTACCGGAAAAATTCTCATGGAATTTTTACGAATACTTTTGAAATGTCCATTTCTGCAGGAATCGTGAACATTTTTTTTAAAAATAATAATAAGACAGCTTTAACGACGCTTTGAAAGTAGTGCAATATTATTAATAACAACACGAGGATTATTTTAGTGGAAAATTTTAACCCTACCTAAAAACTCCCTTTAAACGGAAATAATAATATAATAGCAAGACAAAATATTCGGACCCATTACGGTTGTCGACGTCGTCGCAAAATGAAGTCGAGGCGATGAATGATTGCTATTATCATTGTCGATGCGAAAGTCGATGGGAAATCCTTTTTAGGGAATATCTGTGGCCGTAAAAAATTGTGACGACATTGTATTTTCTAGTCGACGTTCATATTTTAACCATTTTCTATTTGATATTTGACCATGAAAATAACAACAACAAAACAATTTGGAAATATTGAAATCATTTCCGACACTGGTCTATCCTATCCTAGCACTAAAAACCTTGAAAGTCCGGGTTCAATACCTGGATCCATTTACCCGATATTGGCAATATGGGTATCGTTTGAAAGCTATTTAACAAGTGGTCACATAATGGGATCGAAGGCCGGCTACTTACAACAAGTGTTATATTTAGCACTTTGTGTGCCCGGATACTGTACGTAATATATTTATTTATTTATTTATTTATTTATTAATCCATTTGTAATAAAAAGGCCTAATAGACCATACATAATTATTACATAGCCTACCTTAAACCTGAGTTAAAAAACAATTCAATAATAAAAGTAAATAAATTCACAATTTCATGATATATACATACGTACATACATTATACTACTATATAAAGTACTTGTTATTATTATTATTATTATTGTTATTGGCTCCCCAGCCATAAAAATTTGAATACAAGGTAATTAATGTCCATGTTAACAATAACTTTTAGATTAGATAGCAAAAAAAAAAAAAAAAAAAAAAAAAAATCAAGTAATAAAACTGCTACATATAACAACAACAATTAGGATGCAAGATGTTGAAACAGTTTTAATCGAAAAACATTGTTAGAATGTGAAAAAACTCTTAATTCCTGGGGTAATGTGTTCCAACATCGCGCGACCCGTACCAGAAACGATCGTGCATAATCATTTCTAAAGATCCTAGGAATAAAAATTTGAGGGTTTCTAGTTGAATGGCAAAGTATATGGTCTGTTCCCGAACTGCAAGAATTTAAACGTTTCTACTACGATGAGCGATTTTCCCTTTCTGACATCGAAAGAAATTGTAAAAATAGTAGATTCTTGCTATTTGATATTTGACCATGAAAATAAAAACAACAAAACAATTTGGAAATATTGAAATCATTTCCGACACTGGTCTATCCTATCCTAGCACTAAAAACCTTGAAAGTCCGGGTTCAATACCTGGATCCATTTACCCGATATTGGCAATATGGGTATCGTTTGAAAGCTATTTAACAAGTGGTCACATAATGGGATCGAAGGCCGGCTACTTACAACAAGTGTTATATTTAGAAAACTTTAGTTCGAGTAGCCGGTCTAACATACCCAGAAGAGAACATCTCTGGACCCAGAAAAGGTATTAGCAAAATTGTAGAATCTTGGGAAGGTAGCTATAATTTGGCATTAATTTTGTTGGGCCCTTATTCGTCTTTTTGGGGGTTTTATAAATAATCCGGGTCAAAAAATCAATGATTTGACTATAACGTCCGAACCGGTTTAAATAACCCCATCAAGTGACCAGTTTTATTCCATTCGGCAAATATTGAAATATGAGTTCGGTGTAAAGCCATTGAAATTCCAAAAAGTGCAAGAAATTATACCGCAACAGAAAAAACAAGTAAAAAAGCTGTAAGTTCGGCCGGGCCGAACCTTTAATACCCTCCACCATTTGGTACAAATTTGACAATTTCCAAAAAAAAAAAAAAAATAAATAAATAAATAAATAAATAAATAAAATAAAATCCGTTAAAAATTCTGTTAAAATATTAAAAATACCGAATGCCTATACGACGACGTGGACCTGCATAGGCAACTTTTGTCATAAGTTATCACAATATTTAAATGCGAAACTTGAAGAAAAATCTGTTTATAATGTAGCTAAAATCATCAAAATACCGAATATAGGGGGTACCGTTATATGGGGGCTATACGGAGACGTGGACCTGCACAGACAATTTTCTGGCATGGGCTGAAGTATCCATTACGAACTTCACATGCGAAAATTGAAACAATCCCGGTAAATAATGTCGCTACGGTATATGGAGCCTATACGAAGACGTGGACCTACATGGCCCATTTTCTGTTTTATGCTGCAGTATTTATTACGAACTTCAAATACCAAATTTCCGTTAAATAATATCGCTAAAATCATGAAAATACCGAATATCGGAGGGTACCGTTATATGGGGCTATATGAAGACGTGGACCTACATGGTTCATTTTTTGACTTAGGATGTGATATCCATTATCCATTTTGACTTAGGATAATAGTATCCTAAAGAGTTGTTTCGCATGGCCGAAAGTGGTGAACTGCCGAATTTGGTTTTCTCCGATGAGAAAACATTCGTTGTCCAGCAGTTTGTAAACAAACAAAATGATCGCGTTTACTTGCCAAAGAGGTGAGCTGAAAATGTGCACCTTCGGTTGGCCACCAGAAATCAAGCAGCGGCCATGGTGATGGTATGGGCCGCCATAACAGCCGATGGTCGCTCTGCGCTCGTATTAATCTGCCATGGCATCAGAATAAATGCGGAATATTATTGTGAAAATATTTTGGAGGGTGTATTAATGACTTGGGCACGCAAATATTTTGCCGAAAGTTATTGCGAAAATATTCTGGAAGGTGTACTAAAGCCTTGGGCACGCAATCATTTTGAGAGCAGACCTTGGATATTCCAACAGGACTCAGCACCATCGCATTCAGCACGCGCCACCCACAAAAAGGTTACAAAATTAGGTTCCTCGCTTCATTTCCAGGGTACAATGGCCACCAAAATCTCCGGATTTTGGAAAGCAAGGTTGGGGCTAGAAAATACCAAAGTGTTGACCACCTCA